TCAAGTGGTGCAATCCATGATGGAGATGAGCAAGATGATGAAGATGAAGCTCCTCAACACAGGGAACCCTCGCCAGAGCCTAAGATTGAGGATTCAGAGTTCCATCGGTCTGAGAGTGCCATGTAAGTGATCTTTGGTGTACTTTTCAAGTAGTAGTAAGTAGATTAAAGAAAATTTATTTGAAAAAAAAAAAAAAAATTAGATATGAAATTAAAGGTTTTATCTTTACATTTATTATTGTATTTCATTACTGGATACTTTTTATTTACAGCTTCTTGCGGCATTGGAATCGAGGGGATTATAACTCGTGTACTCGCACAGATCTCACTTTCAAGCCTGTTCCTAACAGCCAGCTAGCACGAAAACGTGAGGAAAGGTTAAGAAAACAAGCAGAAAAAGAGAAAGAGGAGAGGGAAAGACTACAGGTGATATATTTTGGTTTATTGTAAACAAAATATTAAAGAAAAAAAACAAAAAATCTGAACAAAAGCTGGTAATAGATAAATGTGAAGTTGAAAGCCTAGATTACAGGACAAAGGTTACTGTGCTTTATGTAGGAAATTATTTTATTGAATTCATTTGATGGTTAGTACAGTAGATAATGAATTTGCTTTCCTAATAGAAATTGAAAGATGAACAAGAAAAACTTGCCAGATGGGAGGAAAAATATAATTGATTCTAAAACTTGGATTTTTGTTTTCAGAGGAAAGCCAGCACTCCAGATAAACGGGAAACCCCAAAACCCACAAGTTCGGGGGAGAGCAGTTCCATCTATGGGAGTATGCAGCCGAGAAACCCTGTCGATACACCTGCATTGAACAGACTAAGGTTAGTTTTCAGATTTTATATACTTATGCAGTACTATGCCTGTAAGCATTTTCTTGTGATTTTATTTTTAAGATATGTTTTTTCAATGATCAGATAGCAAGACTTAATGTCCAGTGTCTGTCTTTTCTTGGCATTAAGAAATCACCTGACTTGTGGGAAACATGAGAATTAGTTAGCTTTTTTGTAAATAAATGCTTATTTTCATATTAGCCCCCAAAAGAACTGTGCAAATCCTTTCTCTTTTCTGCCCACCTTTTGTCCACCAAAGCAAATTCTGATCTTTGGTACATCAAGGGCTTGAATTTATATTTCAGAAAATGCATTTCATTTTCGTATATGAAATACAGCATGCACATTCGAGCATCAAATGCGTACACATACATACACATATATATATATAGTTAATAAAATGGTTGTGTACAATTTCTTCAATTGTTTGTCCTTTTTTTTTTTGCAGCGATTATGCTCGTCCGCATGCTGGGCTATCCCCTGGTGCTGTGCGACCTCCTGCAATAGGACTACCCCCTGCAATGCCTAGTGCTCCTCCGCCAGGTCTGGATCTGCTGCATTTTGGCAGCATGGCAGCATTGTATCCCCCTGGCTCACAGGAGAGAATGGAGCTTGAAGCAAGAGAGCGAGAACTAAGAGAACTGAGGGAGAGAGAGATCTCAGATCGCATCAAACAAGAGATCATGAAGAGACCGATGAACCCACTCGATGCAGGCCATCCTCACAGTTTGTCCCCACACTGGATAAGTGCCAGTCGGTTCCCAGGCTTCTCTCCCCCAGTGTCCCTGGCCTCAGGATTTGCTCATGGCCATGGATTGTATGCTCCAAGTCCTTCAGCATCATCTGCAGCTCTCCTTGCAGTTTCTGAGAGGGAGAGGCTGGAACGTCTTGGTAAGTACATGACTCACTCTTCTAGTCACGGGTGCTGCCATGCTTTACTATCTGTTAATGTATTCAATTTCTGTGCTAACTTGTGATAATCTTTGTGAAGGGGGAAGGAAGTCATTTGGGATGCTGGATAGTATTGTGGCAGCACTGCATAGGTGACACTTGTGCATTGTGATGGAGCATGAGGGCAGGAGGAAGTCAACTGTCAGGTAGTACTGGACTTGTATATCTCATCTCATTTTCTAAGTATCTTTGTAGTATGAGGAGCTACTGTATATTTGGTCATGTGTGTCCATTTTATAGAATGGATTTAAACACACTGTCTAGAGTAAGGAGGGAGACTTAGAGGGACAGTAATGAGTTTATGGGTCAGTGAAGCATGTCCTAAAAGGAGTAAGGGGATTTGGTTTTAGATTTTAAACTGAACCAGCAGTGTTTGAAAGTTTGAAAATGTTAGATTTTTTTTTTTTTGTACTTTTCTACAAGAAATTGAAGTTACTAATTTATAAAGAGTTGTTTAGCACAAAAAGGAAACACACTGCACCATTTTTGTTGATTTGTGATATTCAAGCAAACCTAGAAATGTGGCATGGAGAATCAGGAGTATGCCACTCTTCAACTTTTTTAAAAGAAATTCTCTCTTCTTATTTTGTTAATAAATGTTCACCAGTGGATAATTTTGATCAAAATTAATAAAGTGCTAAATACTAGAAAGTTGATGAATATAGTGAAGATGGGTAATGAAGAGGGTTGTTAGATAATTCAGGACCTATCCATATATATCTGTTATATACATTTCACTCAAACAAAAATGTTTGACTTATCTTACTTTTATGAATTTTATGTATACAGTTTAAATGAGCATTTATCAATGAGCATTTATCATTGATATTTCTTAAATGGAGAAGGGTATGGGATTTCACTTGCTGCACTTGAACTGGAAATGTAAAACAAAATATTTGTATACATAAGCGTGGGTATAAAGGTGGATAGATAGGTTTATCAAGATGGACAGACAGATGAATAAACAGATGTAGATAGGTAGAGGTAATGATAGATGGATCCATGATTTTTGTTAAAAAGAAAGGGGAGACTCAAGTGATCAGAAGGGTATAAAAGCTTGTTATAGCATGATTAAGTATATTTTGGTCTTGGATAGTAAGAAATTCAGTCAGTTATTGAATGGAATGGAAAAGGGAAAGATAAACACACTGCCAAAAATGTCTGTCTTGGATTTTTTTTTAGTATTGCTGGGTTACTTCGTGGGTGGGATTGTAGGGTACATAATTTATATGATTTTTTTTCTCAGTATATTTAAAATAAGATCAACATTTATTAAGTTGTATATGGAGCATTATTTACCTTATGTAAATCATTTTAGTATTCATTAAGTTTTGGGATTTTTTTTTTTTTTTTTTTTTTTTTTTTTTTTTTGATTGGCCAGTTGTTAATGAAATTGATAGATAAATAAGTTTAACTTCATAGTCACCTAACTAAAGAATATGAATAAATATTGATATGTAATTAGATATGTGGAAGCTTGATAACCAAAAAGTATTTTTTATTGTATGTGCTTGTTTGATCCAATAGTATGAAAAGAAGCTATATGTCTATATGTACAGTGAAAACATCTGTATATGCAATGTACATTGTGGTTTTGTTTTACTGATTTTGTTTACACATAGATGATGGCACTAGAAATTTGTGGCAATACCTGACCTTGGCTATTGTTTATTGTTCTTACGTATATTATATTTCCATTATCATTGATAGTAATGTTATAATGATGATTATGAAAATACTGATCATAGTAATAGTAGAGCAATTTTTTTTTCTTATGAAAGTTCAAGCATTGAGTTAATAATTCAGATCAAATAGGCCTTGTAACTGATTCCTAGGTCACTAAGCTCTTGTGATGCTAAGTGTAAATAAGATTATTGACTCAAAACTGCAGAGTACAGTGTATTTATCTGGTGCCAGTGGGTTGATTACCTAATTAAGTTCTTAAAGGTGATTGCCAGCTCCATTTTCATTTTGCTATTATTTTATTATTATTATTTTTTTTAGTTAAGTTTCCTTTGATAGTTCTTTCCAACAAATGAATTTAATATGTTTAGTTTATAAAGTATTTGCCTCATGAAATGCGACCAGTCACTGAAACAGATGTGAATCCCCTCCCCCCTCCCCATGAATGTGGGAAACCATGGTGAAATTTTGAGTGGAATTCAGATGATCCAGCAGAGAATAATACAGCCAGGCAAAAAGAAACAAGGAGAGTAAATGGATAGATAAATGAGTGAGAGGAAGAAAAGAGAAAGAAAGAAAGGGAAAAAGAATGTGAGAGTTAGAGTAGAGAGTTAGAGTAGAGAGTTAGGGTAGAGATTTAGAGTAGCGAGTTAGAGTAGCGAGTTAGAGTAGCGAGTTAGAGTAGCGAGTTAGAGTAGCGAGTTAGAGTAGCGAGTTAGAGTAGCGAGTTAGAGTAGCGAGTTAGAGTAGCGAATTAGAGAGAGATTGAGTGAGTTAGAGGGAGAGAGGGAAGGAGGGACGGGTGGCATTAGAGGGAGAGAGAAAGAGAAAGAGAGAGAGAGAAGGGAGGTGTTAGAGGGATGGAGGGAGGGAGGGAGGGGACGTTAGAGCGAGAGAGAGTGTCGAGAGAGAGTGTCAGTGAGAGAGAGAGGTCAGTGAGAGAGAGAGTGTCAGTGAGAGAAGAGAGTGAGAGAGAGAGTGTCAGTGAGAGAGAGAGTGTCAGTGAGAGAGAGAGTGTCAGTGAGAGAGAGAGTGTCAGTGAGAGAGAGAGAGTGGCAAAGAGAGAGAGAGAGTGGCAAGAGAGAGAGAGAGTGGCAAAGAGAGAGAGAGTGGCAAAGAGAGAGAGAGAGTGGCAAAGAGAGAGAGAGAGTGGCAAAAGAGAGAGAGAGTGGCAAAGAGAGAGAGAGAGTGGCAAGAGAGAGAGAGAGTGGCAAAGAGAGAGAGAGAGTGGCAAAGAGAGAGAGAGAGTGGCAAAGAGAGAGAGAGAGTGGCAAGAGAGAGAGAAAAGAGAGAGAGAGAGTGGCAAAGAGAGAAAGAGAGTGTCAGAGAGAGAGAGTGTCAGAGAGAAAGAGAGTGTCAGAGAGAAAGAGAGTGTCAGAGAGAAAGAGAGAGGAAGAGTGAGGGAGCCCATGAATGAGAGAGGGGCAAAAAGACAGATTGAGAGGGAGTGACTAGTCAGGAGAAAGACAAAAGTTTACTTAAAATAAAAAAGCTAGAAATGGGCCCGTAAATGCAATGTTTCTGTGATGTCATTAAGGTTTCCCACACTTTCCAGAACCCAAATTTATTGCAAGGGGGCAACCACACTCTAGGGGTGGATGTTACTAATATGTATCACATTAATTTCAGTTGTTGATTAAATGCATTATTTGATTCCAAAGAGTAAGTTGTAACAAAACTGAGAAGTTTCTCAGCTCTTGTTACTATTTTAATGGTAAAGCTCATGCATCCCTTAGATTTATATATATTGTTATTTTTTCATTTTTGAGGATGATTCTGGTTTTGATAAAAGAAGGAGAAAAACAACAAATTTTTGGCAGTTATTTTTGACATTTTCATTTTGTTTATTTGGTTTTACTTAGCTCACTGAACATCTTTTGGTCCTTTTACTGTGGTCATGTTAAAGCATATTTCCAGGTAATATTCCTGTTATAAGAAAATATTGTATACAGTTTATAACAATATTTGCACTTGATATAATAGCCTATACAAGCATCTCTATGATGAGGTTTACGAAATCACACAATTGCACAAAAGATTAGTAGAACGAACTGAGAGCAAAATTTCCGTTTCTTCTCAGAAAATTTCATGATTAGATTATGTATTTTGCTCCTTTGACTGTTAAAGTGATGTGTGTTATAGTTGTTTTTATTATTATTATTTTTCATTGTTTTTGTTCTTCTTATTATTGGTATTATGATAATGATTTTCATTGTCATTATCTTTATATTTATCTTTATCTTCATTTTATCTTCATCTTCACTATCATTGTGTTTGTTATTATTATCATTATTATCATTATCATTATTATTATTATTATTATTATTATTATTATTATTATTATTATTATTATTATTATTATTATTATTATTATTATTATTATTATTATTATTATTATTATTATTATTATTATTATTATTACTATTATTATTATTATTATCATTATTATCATCATTATTGTCATCATTATTGTCATCATTATTATCATTATTATTATTATTATTATTATTATTATTATTATTATTATTATTATTATTATTATTATTATTATTATTATTATTATTATTATATTATTATTATTATTATTATTATTATTATTATTATTATTATTATTATTATTATTATTATTATTATTATTATTATTATTAATATTAATATTAATATTAATAATATTATTATTATTGTTATTGTAATTATTGTAATTATTGCTATTTTTGTTATTTTTGTTATCATCATCATCATCATCATCATTATCATTATTATTATCCCTACTATTAGCATTATCATCGTTTGTATCTGTTTCTTTTTTAATGTTGTTATAGTTATTATTTTGTTGTTTTTTTTATTATTATTGTTATTATTATTATTATTAATTATTATATATTATTATTATTATTATTATTATTATTATTATTATTATTATTATTATTATATTATTATTATTATTATTATTATTATTATATATATTATATTATTATTATTATTATTATTATTATTATTATTATTTTATTATTATTATATTATATATTATTATTATTATTATTATTGTTATTATTGTTATTATTGTTATTATTGTTATTATTGTTATTATTATTATTATTATTATTATTATTATTATTATTATTATTATTATTATTATTATTATTATTATTATTATTATTATTATTATTATTATTATTTATATTATCATTATCATTATCATTATCCTTCATTATCATTATCACATTATTATTATTATTGTTATTATTATTGCTGTTGTTGTTCTTAATGTTATTGTTTTTTATTTTGTTTTTGTGTTTGTTCTAGTTATTGGTATTAATATTGTTTTTGTCATTGTTATTATTTTTGAACTGTATTCATGTTGACAAATGTAGAAGAGGTATGAATCAGACTGAATGTCTTCAACAACACAAGATGTGTGTTTGACTGGTTTCTAATGCAGATATTTCTGATGAAGACATTTTTGAAACTGGTCAGATACATCTCTTGTATTGTGAAGATATTCATTCTCATTCATATCTTTTCTACATGCTCGTATTTGTGTTATTGATATTGTTTTGGGGTAACTATTAGTTTGATTTACTTATTAAGTATCTGTTATTTATTGATATATTTTTATTTCTTTTTGTATTTAATATTTTTTAGTTTTTATATTTTTGATTTTTTTATATTGATTTTTTTTTTTTCATTTTTGTGTGATATTTCCTTATGTGAATTACTCAGAATTGTTAATAATTTTATTTTTATTATTATTATTATTTTTTGTGATTGTTTGCCTTGTATTTCAAAGATATCCCTTTGTGAATATAAGACTTAGTTTCTGTAGGCATAGATAGCACACCTATGTTGTTTTTACAACATCACACTTGCAGCTCTAGAGCTCCTATCCATATTGATGTAGGTGGCCTTTGTGTTCTCCAATCGTACTGGGTGACCGTTATATGTTGTGTGCAGGGTTACCAGCCACGACTCTGGGCCTGCCTGCTGCCGCTACTCCTTCGGACAACCCGCTGTCTGTGTCCACTGCCG